TGTACGACACGTACACGAACGGACTTTGGCCGGAACAGTGTTGCCAATTGCCGAAATTACCACTAAAATAGTAGCTCGTTTTTGTTTTTGAATGAAGCGATTTTCAAGTGAAAACTTCTTTAGCATCGTTGTGAAACGAAAAAGCGACAGTAAAAAGAGACAGACACGTGATAAGATTTAACGTTTGAGAAAATGAGATAGGAAGCATTATACAGAGTTTCTTATATTTGTGGTTCTCTTTGTTATTTTTTTGTTGCTTAGATGCGTGGACGAGCTCACAGCCCACCTGGTGTTAAGCGGTTACTGGAGCCCATGGACATCTACAACGTAAATGCGCCACCCACCTTGAGATATAAGTTCTAAGGTCTCAGTATAATTACAACGGCTGCCCCACCCTTCAAACCGAAACGCATTACTGCTTCACGGCAGAAATAGGCGGGGTTGTAGTACCTACTCGGGCGGACTCACAAGAGGTCCTACCACCAGTAAATATGATCAATACTAAAGCCTACAATTATCCTCTTTGCGAAATTTTACACCTACCACTACTACGTCTGACACGTTTGACTTGCACACACGTTTTTTATTGTTATTTTACTCCTTAGCTAATAGATCAATATTGAGTTATTGAGTGTAACGCTTTGTCTTAAATGATTGCTTCGCGGCAGAAATAGTGGTGATGCCTTCTTGTGCCGGCTTACAATAAGTCGTATCACCAGTGAATGCCAATCGGCGATCACAGTACGCTGTAGTAGAGAACGTTGCTGTTAGCCACCAGATAAATCTTATAGTCGCCTCTAAGGACATTCACGAAAAGAGGTGGGGTGGCGCTATTTTAGGCTACCACAAAAACGAACAGTTATTGCGAAGAAAGTGTCTCATTGTTCAATTAACTTCGGTGCCAGTTCTCGCAGACGTTGCTTTTCCCTTACCTATCCACTGGTCGGACCAAATACGATCTTCTCTGGACATCAACTTCCACAATGCCTTCCACAAAGCTAAGGATCGTAGAAGATGGAGGGAAATCGTACGGAAGAAACTGATGCAGCGGGAGAGTCACGACCCTCAGTAATGAGGAAAACGACGCGAGGAGGAGGAGGAGGATCCACTGGTAATCTAAGGGACTATTCCAACTATGCTCGGACGGGTGGGTGAAATAAAGACAATATGCCCGCTGAGTTTCTTGCCAGTTCTTCTCAGGACGGAGGCTAGTTCTTGTGAATTGGCGGTAGTTCTTTTTGACGTTCAACAAGTATGTACTTTCATTTATGTTGAATAATTTTTTTTTGATTTGATTTGATTTGACCTCACGGACTCAACTTGAGAGAATTTGCTAACGTTCGCTAGCCCTAGCAAGAGCAGTGCTTCGCCTGATCTACCACCGAATCGGAATCGCGAACCCATTGAGAAGATCTGATAAGAAACTCAGTGGTAGGACCCCGCTACTAGACGCCGCCAGTCCTAATGCGGTCTAGTTATATTTTCGGTGTCAGAGGTCAGTGAAAGTATCTTCTCTTGGTTGTGAGTTCTTCTTTGACATCACACAGCCTATTGGGATACGACTTGTTTAGCTCACAACAAGACCTTAGTTTGATGCCCGTTTGGAATGTTTATTATTATAATACGCATGACCAGTCCTTGAGAGCTACACACGTGACGCGCCTCAATCGTATTAAAATTTAATTAGTCACTATCGATTAGCTGTTTATAGCTTGAGTCAAGTCGGCGTGACCTAAAGGGTAAGACGTCCGGTGCATTCGTATGTAGCGATGAACCGTAGTTCGAATCCCGCAGGCGGGTGTAAATTTTTCTAATTAAATACGGACTTAACACATGTTCAGGAATGATTTTCACTTTTTTTTTCCTTCCACCTATGCTGATAGCCTTGAGAGGCTATTTCAGCTTCTCCTTGACGTGTAGGTGTAGGCTCACGGGACCCAAACCAGGAGTGTTGCTAACACTGGCCCTAGCAAGAGCTGATCTGATCGGAAACGCGACCCACTGAGATGATCCGGCGAGAAACTCAGTGGACTGTGTTTGTGGGTTAATTTACTCGTCGAGCCCTTCGTCGCAAGCTACGGGTTCGGCAAGGACGCTGACCGGTGCTTCTAATACCTAAAAACACAGTTAATGGATCGGGAGGATCCGTTATGACGTGTAGTCAATGGACACTTAGAAATGCTTTCGCAGGGAAGGGCTCGCGGGCGTCCTAGTTTCCAATAACGCCTTGATAGCTTCAATTGCAATGTGTTCGTGTCTTCCAACCGTTCCAACACACTTTAACAGTAATTGTTTTCTTTTATTGCCTATGTCGGTGGACGAGCTCACGGCCCTCCTGAAGTTAAGTGGGAGATTATTGTATACTAGCGACCCGCCCGCGCTTGGCTTCGGAAACATTAAATTTTATTATTGATAGCTGAGTCCCGCGATGTTACCCGCGGTTATTGTCGTTCCGCAGGTGAAGCCGCGGGGCGAAGCGTAGCGTAAGTTACTCCTTATATCATCAGCTACCTATCAGTGAAAGTCCCGTCAAAATCGGTCCAGCCTTTCCTGAGATTAGCCGGAACAAACAGACAGACAGAGAGACCGATAAAAATTGTAAAAAATGTTATTTTGGTGTATGTACCATATATTGGTACCATTTTGGTGTATGTACCGTATATATATTCATATGCATGTAGTAAAAAGTGGTTATTTCAATATTACAAACAGACACTCCAATTTTATTTATATGTATAGATATTTTGAAGTCGTCGTGGCTTAAAAGATAAGACGTTCGGTGCATTCGTGTTGAAGCGATGCACCGGTGTTCCAATCCCGCAGGCGGGTACCAATTTTTCTAATGAAATACATACTCAACAAATGTTCACGATTGACTTCCACGGTGAAGGAATAACATCGTGTAATAAAAGTGAAACCCGCAAAATTATAATTTGCGTAATTACTGGTGGTAGGACCTGTTGTGAGTCCGCGCGGGTAGGTCCCACCGCCCTGCCTATTTCTGCCGTGAAGCAGTAATGCGTTTCGGTTTGAAGGGTGGGGCAGCCGTTGTAACTATACTGAGACCTTACAACTTATATCTCAAGGTGGGTGGCGCATTTACGTTGTAGATGTCTATGGGCTCCAGTAACCACTTAACATCAGGTGGGCTGTGAGCTCGTCCACCCATCTAAGTAATAAAAAAAAAAGTTTGATAGTTAAAAAATATTGCATTTTTATTTACTAGCGTCTCGTAAAATTACCGAAATTCGACCTTATTCACTGAGGTCTGAAGAACTCGATTATTTTGCGTGTAACGTTTTCTATTTGCCAAAATATGCACAACACTCAACAATAGTTGCAGAACAAAAAAAAAAAAACAAAAAAAGCGTTCGACAATCACACGAGAAAATGCTATTTGTTTTGTCTTTGTCTATTTATATATAGATTGCGAAGATTAACGCGGCCCAAACCTGCTCAGTTCTGTGAAATACCACGCATTTACTCTAATTCAATAATAATTAAATTTACTGTAATTTTTTACTGGCGCTAGGACGTCTTGTGAGTCCGCACGGGTAGGTACCACCGCCCTGCCTATTTCTGCCGTGAAGCAGTAATGCGTTTCGGTTTGAAGGGTGGGGCAGCCCTTGTGACTATACTGAGAACTTAGAACTTATATCTCAAGGGGGCTATGGCTATGGGCTCCAGTAACCATTTAACACCAGGTGGGCTGTCAGCTCGTCCACCTACCTAAGCAATAAAAATAAAAATGTAATAACTGAGACCTTAGAAGTCATATCTGAAGGTAGGTTGCGGCATTTACGTTGTAGATGTCTATGGGCTCCGGTAACCATTTAAAATCAGGTGGGCCGTGAGCGCGCCCACCGTTTCTTCTTGCTTCGGTTTCCTCAATACTGAGGGTCGTGACCACCTTCTCGCAACAAGAGTTTATTACGAACCATTCCACGCCATTTGCCTCTATCTGCCGCCGAGTGTAGAGCATCTCGAACTGTGGTGTCGAAGGTAGTGCGGACCTGGTCAGTCCAACGTGTCGGGCCTCTACCTCGTGGTCTTCTTCCGTTCACCTTGCCAGTCACCATAAGCTTCTCCAAGCGCCCACCCACTTAAGCAATAAAAAAGTCCCATAAACGTACCACAGATGGCGCTGGAGTAGTTCCAATAAAAGCGATGCACCGGTGTTCGAATCCCGCAGGCGGGCCAATTTTTCTAATGAAATACGTACTCAACAAATGTTCACGATTGACTTCCACGGTGAAGGAATAACATCGTGCAATAAAAATCAAACCCGCAAAATTATAATTTGCGTAATTACTGGTGGTAGGACCTCTTGTGAGTTCGCCCGGGTAGGTACCACCGCCCCGCCTATTTCTGCCGTGAAGCAATAATGCGTTTCGGTTTGAAGGGCGGGGCAGCCGTTGTAACTATACTGAGACCTTAGAACTGTATCTCAAGGTGTGTGGCGCATTTAGATGTCTATGAGCTCCGGTAACCATTTAAAATCAGGTGGGCCGTCAGCGCGCCCACCCACCTAAGCAATAAAAAAGTCCCATAGAAGGCCAAAGTTCCAATAAAAGGCCGTAAATAAATTTTACGATTGCAGCAGAGCGCGATCGGATTTTCCTATTACAAGTAAATCAAGTAAAATCTAAGAAGACGACCGTAAAACTCTTACAGCTGGGAGCGACAGATAAATTTTCTAAGCCGTCGGCGCGAAAACGGATTTCTAACATCTTCGGTTTGCGAGAAAATTGTCAATTTAACCCTTTTATTGCTGAGCTTATTTTCACATATTTTTCATATCAATTTTTTTTTTATCGCCCTTGTAGGCAGACGAGCATACGGCCCACCTGATGGTGAGTGGTTACCGTCGCCCATGGACTTCAGCAATGCCAGGGGCAGAGCCAAGCCGCTGCCTACCGCTCAATACTCTCCAAATAGCATTTTCATAGCTATCAGCATAGGTAGAAGAAAAAAAAGATTGACTTTTTTTTTCTTTTCAGGTCTGAACGCTTGCGAGAGCAAATCATTCACGTTCCTAAAAAAGGAGCTACCAGTCAGGTACGTACTGTTCTCAATCGTTTTTTCTACCATAGGGAGTACATGCTGACCTTTAGATTACCTTGACCTTTCCCCTCCTCTTGGCGTCGATAATCCTCAATGCTGAGGGTCGTGACCTCATGAGGTTTTCTCGGGTAAATACACATGGGGTCCCGCGTCTTTCCACGGAAGTGCTTTTGGGAGAGGTTTAGTCCTTCGAGGCCGCTTAAGCCTTATTGCAGTCCTGCTAATTAACCGCCGCCACACATTCGGTGTTGATTGTTTTACGGTGGAAAGGTCAAACTCCAACTGAATCCTTCTCTTTTCTTATCAGGGACTGGCATCGGCAGAGTTCACCCTGACCTTGACCTTATTACCTTAAGCATAGATACATTCGTGTTGAGCGATGCACCGGTGTTCGAATCCCGCAGGCTGGTACCAATTTTTCTAATGAAATACGTACTCAACAAATGTTCACGATTGACTTCCACGGTGAAGGAATAAATAACATCGTGTAATAAAAATCAAACCCGCAAAATTATAATTTGCGTAATTACTGGTGGTAGGACCTCTTGGGAGTCCACACGGGTAGGTACCATCGCCCCCCCTATTTCTGTCGTGAACCAGTAATGCGTTTCGGTTTGAAGGGCGGGGCAGCCGTTGTAACTATACTGAGATTTTAGAACTTATATCTCCAGGTGGGTGGCGCATTTACGTTGTGGATGTCTATGGGCTCCAGTAACCACTTAACACCAGGTGGGCTGTGAGCTCGTCCACCCATGTGAGCAATTAAAAAAAATCGAGTCATTTTTTGTAATACCATGTTTATTTTCGATTTTCGGTGGTCACTTTCATTTTATTCCGCTTCACTGGATAACCTTGTTATTTCCAAGTCGGTTAACAAAAACAAATGCTTACCTTACATGTTATCAATAATAAACACTTCAGCTGAAGTGTATAACGGCCTTAAAGAAACAACGACAAAGTCGTGTCCCGATACGGAGTTCGGTGACCTTTGACGACGCCATGTCTAAACTTTTTTTAAGGGATTTTATGACCTGGTAACTGAGACCTTTAAGTCATGTCTTATTTTAATTTATATTAATATTTTTATGAAATATGATATTATGGAGTGAAATGTTATGAAGATGATTAATTTGAGATATAATCAACTGGGATGAAATTAAATGAAATGAAATGGGATGAAATATAATATCAGTAAAATGGTGGTCATTTACTAAGATTTTTTCAGTGGACTTTTTGGAGGATCCCGAGAAGTTACGTCCAGCAGCTTTGTTTCATTTTCCCACATTTGTGCACTTTCACAGATATTAAACAGTTAATAAACCACCCTTATTACACATTTAAACCTGAAGAAACACTAAATAGACAAAATAAAACAAATCACACAACTTCACTCCTCGCGTTCCCGCTTAAAAGTCTCCATGTCTAAATTGATCATTTTTTTTAGTTATACCCTCCATAAACAAAAAAATGTTTAGCCAAAATTTATAGTCAATTTTTTTTTTGTTAATGGTTTTGATACAGACATATCTGCTCATTGCAAGTTCATATGATGATGATACAGCAATTAGTGGTAAACGTAATATGAATTTGTAGATTTCATAACATTGAAGCTTATACAAGCGAAGGTCACCGTATGCGTCTGTTATTCGCGTAGATGGATGAAAGAGCTTACGGCATATCTTAAGCGGTCACTGAAAGCCATAGACATGACAATGTCAATGCCGCCTTGAGGCAATAATAATAACTAGTAGTCACGCAGTAGTCAAAATTCGACTATAATTAATTGAAATTATAAGTTTCAACATTATTATGGTGCTATTGTTACAGATTTCGCCAAGACTACACTATATACAAATACTCGTAATATTAAAGATAAACAATACTAACCTATTCTCAATTTGACTACAGACTTTAACCAATAACAAAAGTTTGACAATAAACAAAGAGTATATGTGTGTGCGTCAAATACATGGTATGTAGTGTGTGTAATGTTTTCTTTATTGAATTAATGTATCTTTTATGCATTATTTTAAAAAAAATATTATCATTGTGCACTTCTTCTCTATATTCTCTCTATAAGTATGGAAAATTTCATAATCCTCCGTCCGCGCAATTTTCGTAAAAAGGGATACAAAGTTTTTGCTTCACGTATTAATATATAGATTGGATTTATGGCAACCGCTTGCCATCTTGGCGCGTCCCAGCCCCAGTGTGGTCAGAGCGCGGAGGGGCCAATCTCGGCGGTCCGTGCTGGAGTCATGGTCCAGACGGCTGGCCGATCCTTCGGCTGGTCGTAGGACCGTCGAGGCGATTCGCCCGGTCCTTGTGGATTGGGTGAATCGTGACAGAGGACGCCTCACTTTCCGGCTCACGCAGGTGCTCACTGGGCATGGTTGTTTCGGTGAGTTCCTGCACCGGATCGGAGCCGAGCCGACGGCAGAGTGCCACCATTGTGGTTGCGACTTGGACANTAAAAATGTATACTTTTAGAATTTTACTCATTTTTAAATATGGAGTGGACGCTTAAAGAAGACCGTGTTGCAGTTATTGCGTTGCATCGTTGCGGTTACGCGCCAATTCAAATTTTTAACATACTGAAATTTTTGAATATAACCAAAAGATTCGTTTATCGTACCATCAAACGATACAATGAAGACTCTAGTGTAGATGACAGGTCAAGAAGTGGTCGCCCTCGGTCTGTTAGGACTCCAGCAGTGATAAAAGCTGTGAAGGCGCGAATTCAAAGAAATCCCAAACGTAAGCAGAAACTGTTGGCCTTCAGATGGGGTTAAGCAGAACCACGGTGAAAAGGGTGTTAAATGAACACTTAGGGCTTTGGACATATCGAAGAAAAACAGGACATCGTTTGAATGCTCGTCTAATGGACCTGAGACTGAAGAGATGCCGTGCTTTGTTGAAGCGGTACGCGGGAAAAAAATATCGGGAAATTCTTTTTTCGGATGAAAAATTTTTTACCGTAGAAGAGAGCTACAACAAACAAAATGATAATGTGTACGCACACAGTAGAGAAGAAGCGAGCAACGGTATTCCGCGTGTCCAATGAGTTCATTTTCCATCCTCGCTCATGGTATGGTTGGGAGTTTCTTATTGGGGCTTAACAGAGGTACATTTTTGTGAGAAAGGTGTAAAAACGAATGCAGTTGTGTATCAAAATACAGTCCTGACGAACCTTGTGGAACCTGTTTCTCATACCATGTTCAGTAACAGGCACTGGGTATTCCAATAAGATTCGGCGCCAGCTCATAGAGCGAAGAGCACACAAGACTGGCTGGCGGCGCGTGAAATCGACTTCATCCGGCACGAAGACTGGCCCTCCTCGAGTCCAGATTTGAATACGTTAGATTACAAGATATGGCAACACTTGGAGGAAAAGGCGTGCTCAAAGTCTCATCCCAATTTGGAGTCACTCAAGACATCCTTGATTAAGGCAGCCGCCGATATTGACATGGACCTCGTTCGTGCTGCGATAGACGACTGGCCGCGCAAATTGAAGGCCTGTATTCAAAATCACGGAGGTCATTTTGAATAAACTTTAGTGTCATAAGAATCTATGTTTTGTTATGTTCATTTTGGTATATGAATGGTTACATAATGAATAAACTTGTTTCAATTATTTTACATTAAACATGTGACAGAATTTATGACCTGACTAGGTAATTATAATGAAATAAATTAAACTCGAATACGCATAACTATACTTGAGACCTTAGAACTTATATCTTAAGGTGGGTGGCGCATTTACGTTGTAGATGTCTATGGGCTCCAGTAACCACTTAACAATAGGTAGGCAGTTAGCTCGTCCACCCATCTAAACGATCTTACACTAAACAATAATTACTATGCGTGTCACTCATTAAGCGTTATATTTAGGTCATTTTAAATCATTTAGCATCACAAAAATGAGTTAACTAAATCGTTTTCAAATCATATCCCATATATGTGATTACGTTTTAAGTGTTTTATTAGTGGGTTCCTGTAAGTCTATACTCGGATACAATGTGTCTTGTATTAAATTAGACTATCAGCCGTAAGTCGGTCGACTTATTTAGATTAGGTAGCGGCTTGTTCCGAACATCGCTGACGTTCATGAGCATCAGTGATCACTCGACTTACCCCATCACTAGTAGGTATTAGAACGGTACGGTTTCCGCATTTTTGCAAACCGACTTTAACGATTAATAAATAATATTGGGCAATGAAAAGGAAATCTGCAAAATTGTTTTGGGTGGTTTGTGAGTACCGGTAAGTGGTAATACTAATTACCGTGCCTTCATTACGGCATTACAAGCGTACGGATGTGAAGTAGGCGGGGGTAGCTGTCACACAATAGAATTGAAATTTCAATCTCACATTACCATGTCTGTGGATTTTCGTAGCGCGAATCTGTCTGCTTATTGTGAGCACTTAAAAAAAGAAAACGAACAATTAATTACTTATAAAAATTGCGAAAGACAATAGTTTAAAATCGATACAAAATTTCTGTTCAGATAAAAAATTATCGATAATTCAGCATTCCGATAATAGTCTCTTCCCCTCCCTACCGATAAAGCTGTAGAGGTATGACGCATTGTTTACGTTTAGTCCTCAAGGTCAAACACTGAACGGATTATACAAACGTGACGTGTCTCTACATCGATAAAATCGATGTCGAAAAATGATACCTAGAGCCAATTAAATAAAGCCCATTTCAATTTTATTTTGGCCCATTTTTAATACGCTTTTATTAGCTTCAGACGTATGTATGTTTGTAACGGAATTTTTGAACATGATTTTGACCCCCTTCAAAACGTCGGATTAACTCGAAATGTGGAATACTTGTTAAGGACCGATGACTGTTCAATATTAAAAATAAATATTGAAAAAATTGAAATTCAACTAAAAAATTAAAAATAAATAATAGTTTAAAAAGACAACTAACAAAATACGCTTCTATAGAAAATCCAACTAAAAAATAGAAAATATCAATCATAATA